AGCAAACGGAATTTGTTTTATGCCTTTTGATATGAGAGAAAGCACTGGCTACATCCACTGATATACACTAATAATTTAAGCACAAATTGCACACTATCAGCATTACTTGCCTTAGTTACTTGTCAGGATGTAATGCTATGCAAGCTCTGTACTAGCACTGTTGATTCTGATACATGGGTCTTGCAGTCTCTTGAAAACGAAACCTACTGAGAATTAGGATTGACATCTGGGAAAGATAATCCTTTTATTAAAATGGTTCTTTGTGTTCATTAGAAACACTCTTCTATCAATTGATTATGGTAATTCAAAGATTGTTGTGATGTTTATCATTTAAATAGGGCATTAAAAACTTACTAAAAACTTAAAGAACTGCGGATACTGTAAATCAGAAACAAAAACAGAAGTTGCTGGGAAAGCTCAGCAGGTCTGGCAGCAATTGTGAAGAGAAATCAGAGTTAACATTTCGGGTCTGGCGACCTGTTCTGAGGAAGGGTCACATACCTGAAATGTTAATTCTGATTTCTCTTCACAGATGCTGCCAGACCCGCTGAGCTTTTCTAGTAACTTCCGTTTTTGTTTGCGTTAAAAATTTACAGCTGATACAGACAAGATTTATCTAACAAGAGTGGCTACCGCTATAATAACATGTGGATTGACGCATTAATGATATGTGACAAAGGCAATTCATGTCTTTGCCAATACTCAAGTCTGATATCATGTTGTGTGTTTGCCAACCAAAATTACTGTACAGCAAAAAACTATTGCTTCACAGATACGTTATAATGCCATCCTGCACCTCACTCACACATTGCTTTCAGACAGTGGGGAAATATCCAAATTTTACACATACCTTCCAAACCGTAATGAAACATCTCAATTTCACAATTGTTAAAACAATTTCCTTTCTTCAAAAAATAAAGTCATGCTGTGTTCATTTCATGCTCAGTGATATTACTTTCTTCAAACTACTGAATGGCGTTCAGTGTTGCAGCTGTTGTCTGTTGTCTGGAAAATTATATGTCAATGGATGGTAATGCAGGGGACCTGCATGGAACGTAGACATTGCTTGACAAGTAAAGACCAAGGTCCATCCAGTTTCCGTTTTACAATCCTGGCAGTCATACAATACGATGAGGCATCATTGCAATCAATTAGGCTGCAATATACCTACAGAGGAGGCAAGGTAAACAGCAATAGCTGAAAACTATAGGAAGCATAAGTTCAAAGTTCCTCCTAATCATGCCCTACTTAACCCATATCAAATTCCCCCTTTGGATCCCGAAGTATTACCCACGAAATAAATATATCCAATTTACATTTGAATTAATAAATATCATCTGTTTCTAACATGTCCTCAGCTGTTCCATAGATTTACCGTTGAAATCACGATTTGCAGCTTAACTCCTTACAACTTCAAGCTATATTGTCTAGTACTATGGTTTCATAGAATCATACAGTACAGAACAAGCCCTTTGGCCCATCGAGCTTGTACTGCCAAAAATATACCACTACCTACATTAGTCCCACTTTCCTGCACTAGGCCCATAGCCTTAAATGTTATGACATTTCAAGTGCTCATCCGAGTTCTTTTTAAAGACTGTGAAGTTTCGTACCTCAATCACCCTCCCAGGCAGTGCACCCACCACCACCCTCTGGGTGAAAAGGGTATTCTTACACCCCCTTCTAACCCTCCTGACTTACACTTTAAAATTATGCCCAGTTGTTATTGACTCTTTGACTAAGGGGAACAGCTGCTTTCTATTTACTCTGCCAAGACACACAGAAGTGATGCCCCTTTACTCTCTATCTTATCGACTGTGCTGGCTCTGCACAGTTTTTGAGCATGTTTTTCACATACGTGGTGAAGGATTCTTCACATTTGCGAAAACTTTATAGGACTTGTGTGTCGATAGTCATGCAGTTATCCATATGCTAATTTGACATGACCATCATATTCACCAAGGTACCACCAAAGGAGGCCATAGACATTTCAACTGCAGCACCATAACATTGTATTTGAGACCTGCCACCACTGTGTGAATCAATACACTTTAAAATTATGAACTGAATGACTCACAGTTAAGTTTTAATAACAGCATGTATGCCCAAATAGATGGTGTTGTCATGGGATTCCTGCTAGGTCAAGATCTTGCTGACACCTTTGTTTAGTTTCATGAGAAATGTGTCTTTAATGGAATTACACCTAACCTTATACCCCTTGCATATTCTGTTGGTTGTTATATTTGTATTGCAGCTGCATGTAAGAACTTCCTTACATGGACTTCATGATGCATTAAAATTTACCTTTGAAATGGAGCGGTCAAATGAGCTACCTTTCCTTGATGTCCCAGTTTAGAAATTATCTGGGGGTTCTCTGCTACTGTCCATTGCAAGCCTACCTTCACTGGTAAATATACTTGTTGGGATTCCTACAGTTTCACATTCAGTTGGCTACCTTGTAAATAAAACTTGATCCATTTGTTCACTGTGCAAGCTAAATGTTGAAAAATGGCATTTCGGAGCCATCCTGTGGGATAATGGCTAACCTGATCAGGTCATTTCTCTTTGGATATCTCACAGGCGGGCTCTAAAGCTTTCACCTTGTTCCTAAAATGATCCAGCTATCCCAGAATACCCTGGAGTATCTCAAGAAGTTGGGCAACATCACTAATAGAGTACTGCTGTCAAGCCAAAAAGACTTTCTCCCTATCGCTCAAATGAGCTAAGTGGTATATGAACTTTAGTGCTGGTGCGATATTAGATATGTAGGCTGTTTATCCCAAACACTGTTAGATCATATCAGACAACATATCCTTTCAATAAAAACCGAAAGGACTGTGGATACTGAGGAAGGGTCACCGGACCCAAAACGTTAACTCTGTTTTTTCCTTCACAAATGCTGCCAGACCTGCTGAACTTTTCCAGCAACTTTGTTTTTGAACATATCCTTTCAGTTGTTTGTAACTGTTGTCCACAAGATATTGACTGTATCCAACTAGCCTGTGCTTGTAAAATTCAATGTCCAACTTTTGATGTGATTCTGTAATTAGACAACACTTGCTGAACGATCTTGAGTGTGCAAAGAATTATGATGACAATCAAGTTAAGATTTGTCAGGCTCACAGTGTAACACGTTTGTGTCTACTGGAAGCCATGTGTATTAATTCTCGGGTGTCTGCTTTGCAGACAGAATGAACATGTACACACTATTTCAACTCAACAAAATAGGTGATAAACATTCACTAGTTCATTTCCTAATGCAATGCCTCATACACTTAGAGTCATTCATCATCTAACTGGTGTATTCTCTATGACAATGCCTCTACCAATTACAGTCTACTTGCCAACCAATCAGCATTGTTCTCTCATACAGTTTAACAAGATTGTTTGCCCTTTGCACTAGCATTTCTTACGAAATGTCCTGATGAGGTCAAGACAAAAAGCTTTGACAACATGCTTTTTCAGCAATACTCAAGTTCTGGACCGTCACATAACTATATGTCATAGTCATTTTTATCTTGTCAATATAAAATGCTAATATCTGCAGAATATTGCTGATTCTTCAATTTCCATGCATATTTAATCTTTACAATTTAGTCATTCCTGGATTTGTGAAGCACTTTGTACTTATGTGCATTGAATTTCACCTTTCACTTACCTGCCCAAAAGGGTCAAATATATTCAGATCCTTCTCTGGCGGTTCTTCTTCTACTTTTATGTGCGTCACCTTCATTGGCTTTGTATTCACATTGTGCCTGTGTCTCCAGGGGCAGAATCTCCTACTCCTAGAGATGGTGGCCTTGAGGGTGGGAAGAGTATTTAATTAGATGGGGTAATGGCACACTTTTACTTGGTTTGGCCTAAATGTGACTCCAGATCAACAGCAATGTGGTTCAATCTTAAATGCACTTTGGGCAATTTGGGATTGGCAATCAGTGCTGGCCTAGTCAGTGACACCCATATCATGCAAACAAATTTAATAAAGGCCTCTGGTTCACTAGCTCCCTTTGGGGAACAAATTCTGCCTTACTCACCCAGCTTGGCCTTGGCAATGTGACTGTTAACTACCCTCTGAAATGGCCTAGCAAGCCATTTAATTCATGAGAATTAGGGATGGGCCACAAGCTTGTCAGTGATGCCCACACTTTGTGCAACAATAAAAAAGTAGTGTGCTTTCTGTATTTCAATATTATATTTTTGTACATTAATTAAGCATGGCTGAATAATAAATGCAATAATGCAAATGTGATTTGCAGAAAGTATTTCAGAATCAAATGGGCCTGTAAAATCAATTATACTCAAGTTTAAAAGGTATTGACTGCTTAAGAATTCTTGACAACAAGCATATTTAAACATTGAGTTGACCCGTTTGAAATTTAATAATTATCAAATTTATTCCATACTAAGAGCTTAGTCACTCTTGTTGCTTGCTGTAATTCCTGATTCTATTTCTTACAAATTGATTGTAAATTCAGTACTAAGGTAATAAAAAGGATTTGCATTTGTATTGCACCTTTCATGACATCAAGTCTACAAACTTCATAGCTTAAAAGATATTTGAAGTGTAATCGCTACAGCAGTACAGGAAATGTAACACCCAGTTTGCACGCAGTGAGGTTCCACAAACAGCAATGAGACAATAGACAGATAATCTGTTATTTTATTTGTGTCGTTTGAAGGTAAGTATTGACCAGGACATTGGGAGAACTCTACTGTCCTTTAAATAGTGCTATGTCCTTTTTCTCAATTTTGCCCAAGAAAACAGTTTAGTTACTCCTCTGAAAGTTGGCTCTTCCAACAGTGCAGCTCTTCTTCAGTGCTGCAACTAAAACATTAGCCTAGATTTTGTGCTCAGTTGCTGAAATGACATATGAGCTTACAACCTTACAATGCCAAGGAGAGAACAATGGAGAAGTGCCACACGAGTCAGGTTTCATTTCAGAGATTCTGCACTAAGTAAAGTCTGAATATAATTTGCACTGTATATTATTCTGTTGCAGGAGTTGAAGATGAACATGCCTTAGCAACAGAGCTTAGACAACGAGGACAGCAGGCCCTACCTGGACATGCAGCTCACACACGTTCTTCACGGCAGCACTCCACTTCCTTCCCGAGATATGATTACCAGTATAATGTTGACGAGGAAGAGGAAGTCGGATCACCAGCTATGGTCTACAGTGTCCCTGACGAGGGACCCATTTCCAGTCCAGCAGGTATGAACTCAAGACAAGAAATGGGAAAAAGAAAATCTCACCCATTGAGCTATGATCAAAATAGGAAAAACAGTTAGATAAGGTCTTCCTCTGTTGTTCGATTGTGCTAACCTTGACCTGGGAGAATCTAGCTCACGGCTTTCTTGGTTAGTGGTAAGAAGGTTGTCAAATTTAGGACAATGCTAAGTGAGGATAAGGAATGCTATGCATTAACTAATTTACCAGAAATGTGCAAAAAATTATAAGAATGCTCTATATATGTACATACAAAATTAGAAATCTGTGACAACCCAGAAAAATCTCTGGGTTACAAAACATGCTGAAATCCTTTCAAGAGTGTGGGACTAGGGACATTGTTCTTTTAGAGAGCCAGCACAGACATCGTGGACCAAATGGCCTCCTTCTGTACTGTAAGTTTCTCTAAATCTATGAAATGTTCTGTCAATTAAAATACATTCATTTAAGTACTGTCTATAAAAAAGAATAATTAAAACTCAACCAAATTCCTTAAAATTAAATGCACACTCTCTTGAGTTGCTGTCCAGTTGGGTTTATTCTTCTGTGACATCTCTGCAGTGTCAGTGATCTAGCTGTTCCCATCCTAATATCCATCTGCATGCTGTGGTTGGTTTGCTTGCCAAGCTGGTGCGTTAGTTTGCAGACGTTTCATTACCCTGCTGGGTAACATCATTGTCAGAACCAATGTAATATACAAAATCCCATGCAAGGACTGCGACAAACATTACATTGGATAGACAAGAAGAAAATTGGCCACAAGGGTACATGAACACCAACTAGCAACAAAAAGACACGACCAATACGCACTCATTTCCATTCACACGGATAAGGACAACCATCTGTTCGATTGGGACAACACCAGGATCCTAGGACAGGCCAAACAGAGACAAGCACAGGAATTCCTAGAGGCTTCGTTCTCCACCAAGAAGGCCATCAACAAACACATAGAACTAGACCCTATATATACACCTCTGCGAAGGAAAGATTGGAAATGAGGTAATCAAACCCAACAGACCCCAGAGTTTAAATACCTGGCGGAAAACACAACAGCTCTTCATTGGAGGCTACACTGATGATGTTACCCAGCAGGGTAATGAAACGTCTGCAAACTAACAAACCAGCTTGGTGAGCGAACCAACCACAGCATCCACAACCAGATCTACTCAAGAATCCATCTGCATGCTGATCATTGGGAAGCTGAAACCAAATAGTAGCCTTCAGGTGAAACTCTTGTTAGCCTAGGACAGGAGCTCCCATAAGGAATTGATCAAAACGTGAACTGCGATAAAGAGCTTTGTAAATAGTTACATGCGTCAAGCACTGAAATTGTGACGTGGACATTAGAAATTCCCCAACAGCTAAATTGGGCAAGTTAAATCCCAGAACATGAAAACTAGTATATAAAAGGCCTTAATGTTCACAGCTTCCCTTTAAATACAATTTGATTGTTGCAGTGAAACACATTTTTACAAGTCCATTGTTATACTCCTTGTCTTATACTTATAACGCATATTAGCATCAGCTATAGGGATAGCACAGCAGGACAGTGAAGGCACCACGTGTATCAGACATACTGAGCTGAGAACATGCGGGTGAATTTGACCGCCAGAACCTAATGACCAATTTCAAAAACTAAATTAAAATAGAATGGAGACAGTAAGGACAGCAGATGCTGGAAGCTAGAGTCAATAAATGTGGAGCCGGAAAAGCGGAGAAGGTCAGACAGTATCCAAGGGGCAGAAGAGTCAATGTTTTAGGCCAAAACTTTTCGTCAGGACTGGGGAGGGAGAGGGGAGCCCAGAAATAAATAGACGGAGTGGAGGGTAGGCGAGATGGAGATAGGTGGATGCAGGCAGCGGGTTATTGTGGTTGGTCAGTGGAAAGGGTGGAGTGGGTAGGTGAGTAGGAAGATGGACAGGTTTGGTGGGGTTGGCGGGGAAGGGAGAGATTTTGAAGTTGATGATGCGGGTAGGAGGTTACTGTGGTTGGTTAGTGGGAAGTGTGGAGCGGATAGGTGCGTCAGAAGATGGACAGGTTGGGGGAGGAGAGATTTTGAAGCTGGTGAAGTCAATATTCAGGCCATTGGGTTGTAAGCTCCTAAGGCGAAATACTGGGTGTTTTTCCTCCAGTTTACGTTTGGCCTCACTCTCATAGTGAAGGAGGCCAAGGATGGACATGTCACCAGGGGAGAGGGAGGGGGAGTTAAAGTGGATGGCGACTGGAAGGTCGGGTAGAGCGCAGATGCTCCGCAAACTGGTACGTGAGTCTGTGTTTGGTCTCCCCGATATAGAGGAGCAACGGGTACAGTAGATGAGGTTAGATGAAGTGCAGGTGAATCTCTTCTGGATTTGGAAGGATTGTTTGGGGCCTTGGATGGAGGTAAGCGGGCAGGTGTAGCACCTCCTGTGGTTGCAGGGAAAGGTACCGGGTGTGGTGGAGGGGTGGTGGGGAGTGTAGAGTTAACAAGGGAGTCACGGAGTGAATGATCCCTGCAGAAAGCGGACAAGGTTGGGGAGGGAAATATCTTCTTGGTGGTGGGGTCTGATTTTGGTGGCGGATATGTTGGAGGATAATGTGTTGTAAATTGGAATAAATAGAGTGGCGTAGGTGAGGCACCAGAGAAACCTTATCAGTGACAACAGTGATGGTTCAGGCATTTAGCTTATCCCCAAGAAAATAAGCCATCTTTAATTGCCACATTTCACATAACATGTGAGGTGATGTACAAGCAAATACAAGAACATGCCATGGGAACATTAGCTCTTCTCTTCAGCTATTCCTTAAATACTATAGTAACAGGTTTCACCTCCCTGTAACTATTATTGAGAGTGCGTGGATAGACTAGTATTACTTGTATGACTGCCTTCTTACCACAGGCCATTTCATGAGTTAACGATTTCTAACCTTGATCAGTTGCTCAATATCACTAGATTTGGCAATTTTTGGCAATTTTAAGCAAGATGAAATCCCTACCTCTGTGCCAGTAGGTCAGAGTTCAATTCCCACCTATGCCAAAGGTGTGTCATAACATGTCTGAACAGGTTGATTAAAAAAAAAAATTAGAGTAGGATATAAAAGAGTGTGGGTCATGGGAGCATTCACAGTTAAGGAATCAGTTATAGCTGTTAGACAGGATGATATATTAAATGAATTGTCAAATCAGGCTTTATAGTTTAAACTCAGAAATAAAGAAAGCAGTAGCCACACTGCTAGGAGTGTAAATCAGACTCCCAAATAAGTGGGAGTGAAGTAGAAGGCAAAAATGTTGGCAAATTTCTGATACCCTAATATCAACTGAGATAAAAATAGTATGACAGGAACAGAGGACACAAAGTTCTTGAACTACATACATAATAGCATAATATCATACAATATAGGAGCAGAATTAAGCCATTTGGCCCATTGTCTGCTCCACCTTCGATCATGGCTGATATGTTTCTTGACCCCATTCTCCTGCCTTCTCCCTGTAACATTTGATCCCCTTACTAATCAAGAACCTATCTGTCTCTGTCTTAAATACACCCAGTAACTCGGCCTCCGTAGCCTTCTGTGCCAATGAGTTCCACAGATTCACTACCCTCTTGCTGAAGAAATTCCTCCTCATCTCAGTTCTAAACGGCCATCCCTTCACTCTGAGCCTGTGCATTCAGATCTTAGTCTGTCCTACCAGTGGAAGTATCTTCTCCACATCCATTGTATCAAGTCTTCTCTGTAATCTGTATGTTTCAATGAGATTCCTGCCTTATTTTTCTAAAATCCATTGAATACAGACCCAGAGTCCTCAACAGCTCCTCATATGACAAGCCCTTTATCCCCAGAATCATTCTTGTAAACCTCATCTGGGTCCCATCCAAGGCCAGCACATCCTTCCTCAGATATGGGGCCTAAACTGCTCACAATTGTTCAAATGCGGTCTGACAAGAGCCCTACACAGCCTCATCAGAACATCCCTGCATATGTTTTCTAGCCCTCTTGAAATGAGTGCTAACCTTCCTAACTGCCAACTGAACATGCATGTTAACCTTAAGAGAATCCTGAACTAGGACTCCTAAGCCCCTTTGTGCTTCTGATGTATGAAGTCTTTCCCCATTTAGAAAATAGTTGACACCTCTGTACTCCTCACCAAAATGTGTAACCTCATACTTCCCCAAATTGTATTACATCTACCACTTCTTTGCCCACTCTCCTTGCCTGTCAAAATCCTTTTGCAGCATCTCCATTTCTTCAACACTGCCTGTCCCTCCACCTGTCTTTGTGTCATCTGCAAACTTAGCAACAGTGCCCTCAATTCCTTTCCCCAGATTGTTAACGTATAACATGAAGAGTTGTGGTCCCAGTACTGACCACTGTGGAACTCCACAAGTCAACGGCTGCCATCCTGAAAAAGACTCCTTTATTCTCACTGCCTGCCCCTTGCCAGTCAGCCAGTGCTCTATTCATGCCAGCACCTTGCCCCTAACCCCATTGATCCTTTTCTTACTTAGTAGCCTCCTTGACAAAGGCCTTCTGAAAATCCATAAAGAATACACCCACTAGTTCTCCTTTATCTAACTTGCTTATTACACCCCTCAAAGAATTATAACAGATTTGTCAGATATGACCTCCTGTTGACGAAGCCATGCAGACACAGCCTTATTTTACCATGCACTTCCAAGTACTCCACAATTTCACCCTTAACAATGGACTTAAGATCTTAGCCACAACTGAGGTCAGGTTAACCGGAGACTATAATTTTCCCATCTTTTGTTTCGCTCCCTTCTTAAACAGAGGTGTTACGTTAGCTATTTTCCAGTCCTCTGGGACCCTCCCTGACTTTAGTGCTTCCTGAAAGATCATCCCAATGCCTCCATAAGCTTCTCAGCTATCTCCTTCAGAACTCTGGGGTGTAGTCCATCTAGTGCAAGTGACTTATTCACTTTCAGACATTTCAAGTTTTCCAGTGTAGTGATTGTAATGAGGTCAACCAGGTGAACCTTATAAAA